ATAATATGGTTGCATATATGTAAGCTTATCTATGCTCTTCTCTTCTCTTCTCTTCTCTTCTCTTCTCTTCTCTTCTCTTCTCTTCTCTTCTCTTCTCTTCTCTTCTCTTCTCTTCTCTTCTCCTTCAGGGAGATTGGTTGCATTGTCAGAGCACTGGGTTGCTTCCCAGCTGAGGCAGAAGTACAGAAACTGCTTGAACAGGTAAATGTTCTGATCTGTTGTATTTTTTTCAGTCTTCAACTTGCATAAGTTTGGCCCTTTTGCCTTGCTGAATGGGAAACCTAAACTCTTTTCCAAGATGTTGGAAGTGTCATGGAAATGTTTCCAGCAGATGGACAGTCTTGTAGGTTGCCCTGAAGTAAAACAGGCTGATGAGGTAACAATGTTGATGGGTTAAAATGAGGAGTCTTGGACTCTTTTTTACCCAAAGGGGGACTGTGACACCATGCCAAGGTGGAGGGACATTTATAGAAAATGGAGAAAAAACTGACTGATGAAAAAGAATGTCCTAAACCTCAGTCAGATATCCAAACTCTAATAATCTCCTCTTCTGGACCTGCCATGGAAACACGTTGCAGGGTTAGGTAGTAAAAATCAGTTCTTGAGCAGGTGTTAAAATTATACATCACATTCCAAAAATACCCAGAGGGAAAGCCTGCCGCTTTTTGATCGAGGTCCTGTTATTGCTATCTTATAGCCAGACCTTTAAACATTCTGTCCTTCATGAGGTCTTTCTCAGCCTTGAGATTTCTGAGTTATAGGTGAGAATCTTTTCTTACTTGATTGCTTAAGCTTGTAAATCAGGCTTCAGGACATAAAACATCACAAGACCTAGTGGTCCTCTCATTCTCCCAGTGATAGGCAGTGGTAAGGTAAAGAAATTAAATACATTTCTCCACAGTCTTTTCCTACACTAATTTTTTGTCTCCTTACATCATGCTTGTAATAGAATAGTGGTGTGCTGGCATTGAAGTTCACCATATATTGAAGTTGGAGGGAGATGACCCACCTTGCGTTGGTCAGCATCAACTCCACTTTATTGATCAATCAGGCACTTTTTATAACAGTGTTAATTCACTTCATGCATATTGCAAAATCTGAGCTCACAACAGGCCAGAGATTACACACCAACTCCTCCTTATGTTTCCAATACCAAGATTTGGGTTCTCAAAATTATTCTTGCTTTCCCAAAACAGCCAAAGATAGAACATCCACTTNATCCACTTGTTATGAGAAAGCTGCCTGAGAACTCTGATGTGCAAGGCTCTCAAGGCCTTCATGTTTGCCACTTTTACCTGTAGTTAAAAATAACCTGAGAACCTCTGCTGTTCACAGAAACAGGCTGTGAGAATCTGCTCCTCACAGCTGCCTTCTAGGCCATCCCTGAAAAAATCTCCAACATGCTGGTGCCTCGGCATGGTGTGATTAATAAATGGGACTAAGAAGTGGGAAAATATTTCACATTCTTTTTGCAAATGGGCATGCTGCTTTAAGGAGAGGACAGTGCTGAAGCTGAGAGGTGGGGTAAGGATTTTTCTCCTTTTCATGTGTAGGTCAGGATACTGGGAATTTATGTCTCCTACTGTTTTCTTCCTGCTCCAACAAAAATTTGGATAGTTGCAGTAGTAGTTTCCCCTCACTAGGCTTGTCTGGCCTCTTGTAGATCTGAATTTAGTGTGAGAAGTCTTGCACTAAGTCTTTTGAAAATGATGCAGCTGCTTCAGATGAGGAAGTGCAGAGAACCACTAGAGGAGAAAGCTGTTTTAACATGATTCTGCAATCTGTCTGCTCTGGTTCTGTACTCTCAGAACCAGATTGTCCCAGCTCCCACTGACAAACAAGATAAATGGAAAGAGAAATTATGGTGCTTAATATAGATTATATTTTTATTGTCCCACAGTGACTTTTCTTAACAGCAAATGAACAGTGCAACTCCTCACTGAAGAGGAGATTTGAGAAATGGGGATGCTTTGACAACCCTGTTCAAGTCCAGGGGAGCCAGGAGAATTTAAGGCTTGCCATGTCCTCTGGAAGAGATTTGACTTATTTTTTTTCCCCAATTTTCAGTATTACTCAAAAAATGTGAGATAAGTAATACATAAAAAGTACAGTGCAATGTAGCCATGAGGTAGAAGATTCTTGAGATACAGCAGTGTAACATGTATGAAAATGCTGATTGTAAGAACATTAAAGCACAAATACTGCAAGAAGAAAGAATACATTCAGAGTGATGATTAACCTTAAAGAACACTGCATTGGAAAATTAATAGTGAATAATGTTTCATGGGGCCTGTAAATGAAACTTTGGCATAGGTTTAGTGCCAGAAGAATGCTGTCTTCTTGTGGAACCCTTAATATATTATGATAATCACAAACATGATTTATGTAAGATGCCACTTTAATTGGCCATTTTATCTTAATCTAGATAAGGTAAAAATTGTGTCTGTTAGCCAGTTTGTAACCAAGCCATTTCCCCAGTATTGTTGCCCATTGTGAACTGTGATTCATTTCTGTTTCTCACTGCTTTTGTCTCTGCCATTTCATCTTCCTGTTAGCCTTATTGCTAAACTAGCACATGCTCCCATCATGTTATTCGTATCTGCAAAACCTGCATCCATATAATTATGTCATCTCTATAAATTATCATGTAATGTTTCTTATATTGCCTTATACTCAATTCTGTACTTAATATTATATCTCTAGGCCTGCTCACAAAGACAAGATTAAATGCTAAATCTAGAGATGGTGGAAACTTACCTAAGGGTTACTACAGTGCCTGGAGTTCAGTGCAGTGCTGTGCCTGGTAACTCTGGAAGATGTTTTTGTTTCTTTGTGTTTCAAGTACCTCAGTGTTTTGGCTGGGAGAAGAGATATACAAAACATTACAGGTGCTACAATACAGTTGTTATGGGAGCTGTGAATGTGCCCAAAGGAAAGAAATCGAGTGGAACTCACAGAGTCTGAAATACTGTCACTGTGAAAAGAGGAGGAAATACGGAAAAAGAAAAACATCAATGAAAAATGAGGTGTAGAAAAGGAGTGAGCATGAGGAAGAGTAAGAAGTGTTAGAAATAGGATTAATTTTAACTGTTCAAGATGCTGCTGGATCTATAGAGACTCTGAGATGGAAGCTGTTTGTTCCACATCAAAGGAAGCTGAGGTTGCTGATCACCTCCCAGGACAAGGTTTTGCCAGGTATTTTGCTAAATCTTTTCAATCAAGCAAGCAGCAAAACAAGTGATTCTGTGATGGTAAAAGTTTCCATTTGGTTTGGAATGAAGCATGTAATATCTTCATTTTCTTGCTGAAGATCCTTTCTGCTAGGCTCACCAAATAGAAGGGATAATGTGTTTTTTCAAGGCAGTTTGCACTCTAAAGCAGCAAGACGTGATGGCTGTCTTCTCTTAGCACCCAACCCCCTTCCAGAACACTGGAAAAGAGCATGCAGCAGCAGTTGCAGCTTTCCATTTAAGCAACTGGATGTATCAGGAACTGCCCCAGCTCTGACCTAGCTCCCAGGAGGAAGATTCCTTACTAAGTTTTTCCTGGCTCAGTTAGAAGATTTCAAATCAGTGCCTGTTTGAGTTTTCTTTCAATCTCAGCTGTGTCTCAGGGGGCCTAGCAAGGTGTTGCTGCTGCCCTGTGAGACCTCAAGGCATGCATCCAGTTTCAACACGGACAGGAATAGGCTAGCTCAATTAACAGGGCTCCTTTTGGGAGCAAAACTTAAAATTTTCAGGGAAGGGGTGCACCCCAATGACAAAGCAGTTTTTACTATGTTGCTTATCTCCTGTAGAAGTATAGGAATGCAGTGAGAATGCTGCTAGAAGTCCCCAGTGGTTTGGAACTAATTTGCTTGCTTTTTTGGGTAGCACATTATAGGCTGTCTTATGGCTGTTTTGGTCCTGACTCAGTTTGCCTGCCTCTCTGGTCCTTCCCCTGACTCCTCTCTTTAACTTTCTTTCATGAAACATGAAAGCAACAAATTCCATCATTGAGGTGCACTTGACTGGAGCTATATCCAAGCTAGCCAATTAAATATGCCCAGAAACATCCTTGGGTGTTGAAGCCAGCAGGCACAGAGCAGCTCATGCCCACCCTGGTAAATGCTTCATGCAGAGGGGCTGCACCAAGCATCCTGCTGGGGAAAAGTCCTTGAGGTCCAAGCCAGGATCTGCTGGGGAAATGTTGGGTGGCACAGTTCAAAATCATGCCAAGGGAATGTGCTCATGGTTTGCTGTAATGAGTGTTTATGTTACTCTGCTTGGGAGTGCTCCAGATCCTGATAGACTTTACTAGTATGGCTTCAGCCTGAATGTTTAAACCTCTGCTGAGTTATTGTGGCAGATAAGATCAGTTCCTCGGTGTCTGGTTCCTTTGCATGAATGGTTTTGAAGCACAAGAGGGCAATATTGAGTTGCTGCAAATGTCTAATAGCAGATCTGTATTTCCCTGGGATATTAGCTCTTCCTTGAATATCTTTCTATTTGATCACAAGCCTTTCACTCAGATGTTATGGTGCCATATGATATTAAAGCCCTGATATAAATATTCAAAGTCTAATGCTGTAATTTTAATGCAGGGATCACCCCGATATTCTGTTTTTTGGGTTAGTTTGCTAATGAGTCATATATCCTGCCACACTTAAGTTTTATTTTTAGATAGAAGTAGAAGAACCGGGTGGATTTGTTCATCTGGAACATTTTCTTCCAGTGATGACAAAAGTTCTACTTGACAAAAGGTAATGGAAAGTGAATTTTATGTGTCTGTAGTTTATTCCAGATTGACAGGGTTGGTTCTGAAAAGCATATCCACAGAAATTTTATGTAACTGGAAGGAGTGTAGATCTTCTTTGTCATTTAAACTAATTTTACATTAGCTATATAGATTTTGTTTCAAAATTAGTTCATCTACATTAAATTATGTTGTACGGATGATATAAATAATACCAGCTTATAATCATAATTGTGATAGTACGTAGCTTTTGTATTTCTAATTGGAATCAGAATTGCTATTCAACACACTTTGTGTATCTCTGAAATATTTTGTATGCAAATTAAGGTCATAACTATTGCTTTCTCTGAACATTTGAGTTACAGTTACTGAGAAGGTACAGCTGAATGTGTACAATTAGCACTCTAAAAGACTGCTGACTTAAAAGTGGTCACAAAGGTGCATAGAAGTCTTTGCACATACATAGGGACTTGTGCTACTTCGACATTTTGCACTAAAGCAAGATCATTTACAAGGAATTTATCTTTCATTTTAAATATGGTCATCAAGGCTTTTGAGAAACTCAGTCTTATCCAAACCTGAGAAGTTATTTTGCACACAGAGGGCCTTTGGTAGGAGGGTGTTCTACACATGAAGTAGCTGTGGCTCTGCACTGGTGTTCACCCTTTCACAAAATGATGCCTTGCTGCTCTGGGCTCTCCTCCTCCTCCTCCTCTACACTCCCTTCATGCAAACTCAAACACACACTCACACACACACACACAAAAACACCCCCTGCACTCTTTCCCCAGACTAGAGCAGGCTTGTCAAGACCTTCTGCATCTTTTGGGGCACTGTGTCCATAGTTCACTTAAGCAAGGGTACATGAGATTTGGATCATAAAATCCAAGGCTGCTTCTTAGCACATTTGATTTTTAGATAGTGAAAGACTGAGGCGGGTCTGGACAAAGCAGTCAAGCAGCTGGAACCTCCCTGGATTCAGCTGCTTCTCTTTAGTATTCTGGGGGTTTGGTGGGAGCCTGCTGGGATATGGAAAGTCTCCATTGCTGCACTGAGCTTGCTTTCCTGCTCTGAAATCAAGCATGCATATGCATGCACAAACGTGCTCAGTTCTCCCCTCTCTCTGAAATTGTTAGTGACAGACCTTTTATAGCTACCAGCCTCCTTTGCTCATCATCAGCTCATTAGGCTGCCCAAGTCCCACTAGGTGATCTGTTGCCTAGCTACCAGCCTAGCTGGACAAAACTTTGTTTTCTTGGTTTGTCCATTTCTGTTCAGTGCATTGGCTTTGTAGAATGATTCATCTGTTGCTGATTCCTACTAACCACCAAGCCAGCCCAGACATGCAGAAGACAATCATCTGGTTCCTCAGCACAAGGAAATTAAACAGCAGTACAACAAAAGATGAAAGAGTTAAATATATGGACAGTTCCAAAAGGTCAGGCTGCAGTTAAATGTTTGGTAGACAAAACTTAGTAAATTCTCATGGAATATAAGCCTTCCTTTCCCTTAGTACTCATATTTAGTTTTTTCAGAACACTGGCAAACAGTAACTTTTCTGATTCTCTGGTTTCAGATTCCAACCTATTCCAGAAGATGTTATTCTACATGCATTTGAGGTCTGTATATCTGTAAATATTCAAGTACCTAATTGCTGGTAGAAGAAGTTGCTGCTTTTTGATACAATAAGCTTAAAACCACAAGATTTATTCTTTTTCTTTAAAGGCTTTGGATGAGAATAAGTGTGGATATATTACCAAAGACGACCTGGTCAAACATTTGACTCAAGGAGGTAACATGACTTGTGTAATATCAGTATTTAAGTAAAAAACATTACTTATGTATATGGCACCTTCAGGTCCTTACCCAGCAGGCCAAAACCTGCAGTAGATACATTGTCTTCAAACAGTGCTGTCGCTGTGATGAGTGGCTGCAGACTGGGACATTTCACTGGTCAGTGATGCAGGGAAAGAGCATTTATCTGCCTGCTTGCAGACATTATAAAATAGACTTTTTTAGTCTTATCCTTATTTGCAATTCAGTCATGTCTGGATATTTTGTGATTCTGTGCACACCTCTGTGCTCACTAAGTATGTGACTCTTTTGCTGTCCTGTAAAATTGCAGCTTAGATTTCCGGATGTTTCAGTGGTTTCAGTGCTCATTCATTCTTGCATTATCTTGATCTTACTTCTAGAGCCGCATGCAAACAAAGAGATTCAAAGACAAGATTTAAGTTGTACATTCTGTAATCCTCAATATCTCCTGAAGAGCCTGCTTTTCTTGTGTGGCTGACTCATGCCCACCTGCCTCATGTTCAAAAGGGTGTGCAGGTTTTGTGCAAGACCTAGCATCAGATGGTAACCTGGTTCTCTGAGGGTTGAAGTAGGCCATCAATAGCTTTGAAGAGAAAAACCAGAATTCTTTCATGATATGAATACAAGTGCAAGGAGAGCCAAATGAGAGATAATAATTCTGATGTACACAGGAGAAAAATTGACAAAAATAGTTGTTTCAAAATCCATGGCAGAGAGGAACAGGCTGTTGTGGTGTCTGTGAACTAGAAGATCAGATAGATCCAGATCCTCTGTCTCCTTCCTTTTAGACTGGCTCACTTGGTGTGTAGGACTTATTTTGGCAAAAGGGAAGGAATAAGATACCTAGTTTTGTTCCTTTTCTCCTCTGTGTGAGAATCAAAAGGAGATCCTTTCAAGTGAAAGGCAGTGAAATTTGCCTTGAAAGGACAAATTAATGCACTTACCAAGATAAAATGTTATTCTGTTCTGTCTTTCAGGTGAGCCCTTTACTCAGGAGGAGATGGAGGACATGCTTGCTGTTGCTCTAGATCCAGAAACAGACATCCTTCACTACAGAGATTACCGTATAAAGCTGGTAGTAGATGAAACCAAGACCTTCCCTTTTAATGGCTGAGGTGCCTTTTGGTAACAGCACTGTGGCTTGACAGATAGTTGAAATTTGTATTTTAAAGTATAACAAAGCTCAGCTTGTGACTCTGTGCTTATAATTAAAATGAAATCTGTGTAGTTACGTTTCCTTGGGTTCTGTGTGTGTGTATATACATATGAAAATATCTTCACACCTGGAAAAAGAGCTCTTGACAGAAAAACTGTGTAAGGTCTGGACAAGAAATCATGGAATTTTGTTGGAAAATAGCAGGAAAAATAATGTTAATGAAGTCAAGAAATAACTTTTTGATTGCTTTTGAAAAACTAAGAGAAAATGAGACCCATGAAAACGTAATAAGCAGGTAAGTGAGTATTTTAAGGTGACTAATACTAGTAAGATGAAGCTTTTATATTTAACTGTAGTCCTTTTTTGTGTTTAACTAATAAGGAACCAGGTAGGTTACACCTTTTGAAATAATATAATAGATCAAATAAACTTTCTGTAATTTCTAGTGTTTTTCAAGTATTTGTGTTTTGTTTACCATAAGCAATTGAACTGGACCAATTAGTTCCAGTTTATATTACTAATCTACTGACATGGTATTTTGCTTTCATTTTAAATGTGCAGGGAACACTCCAACCATTTCTATGGTTAACCTAATCCTTGAGAACATTTTGGTTACTATAGGCAAACCAGTAACCAGTTTGAAAGTCAGTAATTTCAACTTTTGTAACCAGTTTGAAAGTCAGGAACTTCAACTCATTAAAACTTAAGATCACAGAATGAGAATTTGATTTTCATAAACTGATGAAGCACCATTTTTTGAAAGATATTAGTGTAGAATGGATGTCTCAGTTTTACTTGCTAGCAGACCACCACAAACCTCACAGCTCTTCTTATTTCTAGTTTGATAATTTTCTGTTACTCTACTGCTGTTCTTTAACTTGAGTTGAAGTTCTTTCCCTTTGAGTTCTTGCTGTACATAATCTTCTGACACGTGACCAGCAGCTGATGAGGTCTCAGCTTGTAGGAGATTCTGTGTTTTGCTCCTCAAGAGTAACATCTTGTACTTTGTACTACACCCCATTTCTGTTTTACTACTCTCTGTCAAGTTTGCTTTCCTCCTGTACTATGTTCTACCTCTCCTTTGTTCCATCTGCATGATCCAGGTCTGTGTCATCCACAGCCTTCTTGAAAGGCTGAAATCCAGGGAAGACTGACACAGAGAGGCACTGAGTGCCTTGCTCCCTGTCATGCCTTTCTAGTGGCAGCACTGAGAACAGAGCCAAGGACCTCTCCTCATATCAGGTCTTTTGTCCTACCCATTTGTTTCCTTTGGACTGGAAGCTCAGACAAACTGTTTTCATGCACAGCTAAAAGTGACCTGCTGTGCTGCACAAAGAAGAGATTAGCATGATCTAAATGGGGTGGTGGAAGCAGTGTGAAGGAGACCACTTTTTGATTCACTTTTTACTTCTCTAACCCAAATTGTCTTTCACTGATACTTGCTTAAACAGCAAGACAATGAAGAACTAATGCACGTAGACAACAATTGCACAGTTCTAAGCTGCATCTGGGAAACATTGTTGCACTGCTCCTAAGACTCAGCAATGCACTCTGGTTAACACATTTACTGTGTGTTCCAACTTCATTGCCAGTAAGAAGGAAAAACAAAGGCTATCATTAGTGTTACACTGGAGGAAGATACAAGTTTTTGAAGATTAACACAAGATCAACAAAAGCCTATTAAGAAAATACATTTTTATTAGTCTTCTTCAGTCTCTCTTTCAAAGCTGAAATTATTTTCTCTAGATGAATCTTTCTTCCAGTTGATGTGGAAGTGTGTTATACTGGATTTCTGACACAGTTGGTGTGAGTACAAGTTTCATTCATATGAAGTCTTGGAGTCCTTGTCAGTGTCATCTTGGATATCAGCAGGAAGATGCTTATTTCAGGATATCATTTCATAGCTCCCAGTGCTCCAGAGAGAGCACAATTTGTTTCTAGTGGTGTTTCCCCAGAGGCTGCCTCAGCTGTTGCTGTGTCAAATCAGGATGTCCACATACAACACTGTTACCTTTCATAGTGCAGATGGGAGATTAACATGCATTCTTTTATAATATATATAATTTTTTATTTTGCAGTCCTCAAATGCAAGGAAAGAGAGTATTCTGGCAATAAAAAAGCGAGATTGTGAATGTGTCCGAATTTATTGTACAGCAGATCTTCCAGTTCCATTTTCTTATACTCATCCTCAAGAAAGATATGTGCAAACAGGACAGACAAAAGCAAGATGCAGTCTTCTCTTTGGGCATAAGTAAGCAAATTTTATTGCCCAGAGAGTTTCCAAACTAGGGGTGAAAGAATTGTCAAGAACCAATCTCAGACTCTGTAGGATGCTAAAACCTGAGTGCACTCTGCCAGCTGGGCTCAAACAGAGTGATCTGAAGGCTCGTGCAGCAGCTGCCCCGTGGGTCACCCCAGAGGAGGCTGAGCAGGAGCCACACAAGGCTGCTCCCTTGCCTGGGCCCTTCATGACTTGCCAGCCCATGGCCACCCATTTCCCCATGGTGGTGACTGGGTGCCTGGCTTCTCTGTGCTCCCTGGGGATGAGCAGGGACCCCTACCCTAGGGAAAGGGAGAGGAGACTTAGGGAACCATTTTGGTGAAAATAAAACCCCTCTTTGTTTCTAAATTTGAAGGGAAAATATGTTACTTTATCCTCTTCTTTGAGGTGAACCGATTGAACTGCTGAGTGGTCTTGAGCTGTCTCTTATCACATGCCTCTCCCTGCTGGCTGTTTTGCCTCTTCCTTCAAGATCAGGAACCAAGGTAAGGGACTGGAACAAAACCAGAAATCTCCAGGGAGGAACCAGTGTAGCACCTGGATTTCACACAGGGACATAGAGCCAAGGCATTGAAGAAACTGGGCAAGTCAGAGGGTTTTTTGACCTAACTGAAGGAAGGAGAGGGAAGGGAACTCATTATCCAGATGTAAAAAAGAAAACAAAATTAAGAGAAGAAATCAAAGAAGCAAAAACTAGAAACCATCTATATGTACAACTGAATCAGCAGGCTGTTTACATCACTGCTGTGAGTTGTAGGCTGGACAAGGCTTTACTTGTTTAAAATTTTAAGTAGGTTGAGCTGTGCCAGGGCATATCTGGTGTATAGTGGAGACCTCAGTCCTACTGATACTGTGGAGGAATTCTTCTAGCTGCTGAGCTTGTGCTTGGGAGTACAGTTGCTCTTACTCCAGGTAATACATTTCTTTTTGTGTTTCCTTCATTATCTTTGAAGTTGCTTCTCCAAAACACTTCTGTCTGTTAGTGATAGTCCCATATGTATTCACACCTGAAGATTTCAGTGTTTTCTGAAGACTGCAATGCATACCAACATGATATTTACAGCTGCTTGAGACTCTCCACTGGCTGTGGGCAGAAGCAGAGGTTGCAGGACTTCCTCCATCAAAATGCTAATGGGCCAGCATCAGAGCTGGGACTCCAGGGAAAGAACTGGGCTGTTCATCTGTGCACCTCCATCCATAATATCACACAGGTAAGAGGCTGTAAAATGTTCAGGCTCTTAGCTCTGTTTAGGAAATAAGAATTTGCTACCTTTTCCTCTTGTTTCAGTTGGTCTTTTCTCTTGTTTCTCTTATGTGTCATTTTGTTAATACAGTTGTGTGATATCTTATGAAGACTGAAAATTCAAGAGAGTTTTGCTCTGCCCCACACTCCTGATGCCCTGCTGCACTCTCAGACAGTTGCCTTTATCAGGGTGGGATTTATCACTTGTTACCACTGAAATCAGCATGGGCAAAACCTTCATCACAGGCAACAGGAAGAGCCTGGGCCTTCAGTTTCATGGCGGAAAGTGGCTGGGGATGCTGGAGTTCAGCAAGGCTGGGATGGGCATGGGAAGTCAGGATGTTTTAGGTCCAGTAATACACTTATAATTGTGTGAAAGAGGGAGAGTAGTCTTGACAATGACAGGAGGTTGAGAGACAGGTTTCATTTTGGACTTTGTGAGAGGTGTTGAAAGGTCACACAGTCTCTTGCTACCTGACCTTTCCATGTACAAAGTCAGAGGAATTATAAAGAATAGGAGACAGGGAGTATCAGTCTTGCCTACTTGTGTTGCCAACTTTGTGTATCACTAATTCTGATGTTTGCACGGTGTTTTGTACTATGATGGTCTGATTGAAATCAGTGCCTGCAGACCTCCCTGTAACATAATTAAGAAAGTTCTCAGTCTTCAAGTCTTTTGTTCCAGACTGTATGTTCATGTCTCAACTTTTAAACAGGTCAGTCCACATCAAGTATGTTTGTTTTTTATTGCACGCAACTCTATTCCATAGTATCTCATGCCATGATAGGTTTGACTATAAAACTAACTATTAAAACATCTGCTCTTATTGTTGGAGGGTGTTTTTGGCAGGTCAGTACTAGGCATGGGGACTATGCTGATTTAAAAGCTAAAGAAAGATGTAGGTTGAAAGAAAGCAGATTCTCTCATTTAACCTATTTTGAATCCCTGGGGCTACTGTTTGGCTTAGTGTAGTTCTGAAAGCCAAGAAAATGTTACTCACTATGCTCAAAAGATTGATCACAGCGTTTGTGTCCTGAGGCCCAAATCCTAAAGCTCTTATTCAGAGAGAACTCCCATTGACTTCAAAGGGAATCCTGTCTACAGAAAAGCTTCAGAAATAGTGATGCACTGGCTCACAAGGCTCTATAAAAACTTTTTAGTATCTTTAAAGAAGACTTATCTGTCAAAGATCCAACAGAGGTGTCCAACCAGCTGCAAGTCATGTCATTGAAATGACCAAAACTGTAAAACCGTGGGTGTAAGTAGTTAATTCTTGTCTATAGTAATGCAAGCAAGAGTTAGCAAGAGTCAGCAGTCAGAACTTTTCCATATTGTTCAGAGCACAAGAAGTGAAACTAGGCATGCTTCTGCATGGAGATGTAAAATTATCTTTTCCTGGTACTATCTTGGAGAAATTGCAGCCTTAAAAACACACACATGTTGCTTCTTTGTTTTCATATACTAAACCAATTTCTTTTATTCTGGGCACTATTTTTCTTGAAGCCTTTTAGAAGAGGCTTCCCTGTTGCAAATATCTGCCTAAATGGTAGCATAAAAAATAGTTCAAAATAAAATGTTTCAAATAGAGGAAAGCCCTTGAATATTTGCTGTCAACAGCAGTCTCTTTCTTGCCAAGATAGCAGTATCCCCCAGTGCAGAACAGATTTGTTCTTGATAAGATTTGCCTTATGGTGTGCAGCCATGTCTGCCCCTGGACACCACCCTAGTGATTAAAATAATCAGAGAGGAGTTCTAAGGGTTTCTAGAGGTTTGGATTTGAGCTGATAATGCAAGAATTTGAAGCTCGCTGAGGTCTTCCACATCCATGAGTTATTCAAGTTTTATGCACTGCAATAGATTTTACAAATAAGGCTATATTTTGGTCTATTTGGATACCGGTAACAAAGACTGAAATTTTAATCCATAGTAACACAGCCAAGAAAAACTCAGTAGTGCAGCTTTAAGGACTTTGTTTCAACTTTGTTGGAACACCTATTTGTGTGGTGAAGTTGCACTCAATATTGCAGGGACAAAACTAAAAACACCCCACCATAGCCAGTTTTCATGTGGTCTTAAGCTGTTGCCTTGAGAAGCAATGCCATTCTTCAGAGCTCCCACAAACACAGAGATGCACTGAAATTCAGCTCAGATTTAATGGAAAACTCAGAACCTGTCTCTAGTTCTTTGTGCTTTGTCAAAGTTGCAGAGATAGATTGTTATGCTAAATATGATGGTTTACTATCATTGAGATCATGAGGGGAGAACTTTCTGAGAATTTGTATAACTAGGAGTGGGAAGAAGACCACTCTAAATACAGAGCGCTTGACTCAATCCATTGAAGACAAAAAGAAGGCAAGAAAGGAGGCAATAAGGAAAGGAA